AGCAATACGAAACCACCACCTATACCGTTGTGGGCTTGCCTCCACGTGTGATCCAGTATGTGGTGGTCACACGTAAGGAGGCGTGTTGAAGAATATAAGTCTTACATCGGATGATTAACTACACATATTGGGCTTTGTAGTAGGTTAAGTTGGGAATTGTTGAACCAAAAAAATTCACACAAAGGTTTTTTTTGCCAAGTTTCTATTGGTCAAAGCCCAAGTCCTACAAACCTTATTTATTATAAATGCCAAAAAAAAAAAAAAAAAAAAAAAAAAAAAAAGGGGGGCTAACCATTATAAAATAATAAATAAATAAAATTCCAGCCATACAAGTTTATGCATAGGGGATTGAAATATTCCTCCTTGCAAGTTTATCAAAAAAATATTAGTGTTTGCCAAGTATCAAACACTAAAAGATAAGCATCCCATCTAAGAGGTGACTATTGACTCCAACTCAAATTCCTCACATCGAGGCCTATAAAAAGGGGTATATGGCTGGGAGAAAGGGGGGAGGGGCAGCCAACAAACTGTAGAGAGATACAAAAATAAAAAAAGAGGCGGCAAGGCTTGGGGAAGAATGGAGCACAGCCATGCTGAAGAAAAATGACAGAGGCAATTCCATATGCAACCGTCCATATCAAGGGGGTGACTATCTTAGCACCTTTTTGGAGTTGTCCCATTAATGGTTGACTTGCTGAGCCAAGAATCCTTGTTCTTTTTTTATTATTATTGAAGAGCACAACATGAGCCGTGCTGAAGAACATAGGCAATCAAGGCTCCTCTCTTGAAGTCCTCCATTCTTGGGTATGAAACCCGCAAATCAAACAAATGGATTGCAATCCATATTGGGTGGCAACCCACAACTCATTGATGCTCTGCCGAGCGAATTTGGATGATGAATTCATTTTGGGTACAAAACCCACAAGTCATCATGTGGTCAAACCCACAAATTAAACTCTATGATTGATGAATTCATCTTGTGGTCATCCTTCAATCAAATAGGGTCAAACCTGCAAACCAAATTCTATGGATGATGATGATTTTTTATTTTATTATTTTATTATTATTATTATTACTATTATTATTTGGTATGTTAGGCATAGCATGCCACAAATTCATGAATAAGAAACACAGAAATTATTTGGATGCAAATTTCGTCATTGGGTATTAAACCCTCAAATCAAGGCATCAAGTTTTGCACCCTGGAAACAAAGCTTGGGTTTCGCACCCTGAAAACAAATATGGGTATTGCACCCTAAAAATAAAGTCTGGGTGATTCACTCTCAATCAAGGCTTGGGTTTTGCAACCCTAAAAATCTTGGATACAGATAGAAAAAAAAATCTGCAGCTGTGGGGATGGTTTGCGTGGTCCATGACGTTGTGCTTCTGCGCCATTCTCACCCAAAATTGATTTGTTACAAACAATAATGGGAAGAGTCTGTAGCTTAAAAACAATTAAAAAGGAAGGCCACATGTCGAATGACCTCTCTCTTGATTGGGAAGAAAACGGGCCATATGGATGATTGGCTATCAAAGAAAATTTGATATTGGGTTCTCTTTGATTGTTATAAACAAGGAAAAACAAAAAGGTTTGATGCAAGATGTGTTTTGCCAAATTCCTATCCCCTCCAACAAGTCGTATGCAAGGGACCAGAGATGGCAAGTTTGACAAAAGCTAACAAACCCAAAGCTGCCAACTGCAACAATCTAAATACACAAAGTCTGGGTCCAAATTTATGCAAACCAATCCAAAGGAAATGCATATTTCTCTAAGTTCATCCTCTATGGTTCAAGCTATCAAGCTTCTAAATAGGAAGAAGCAGAACTATGGAAAAATAAGATAAATCAAGAAGACACAATACTTTTCTTTTAAAAGGCCCCATGCCAATGACAAATGGAAGGGAAAATCAAGCCACAAGGTAAAGTGATTGTTCAAATTGCTTTAACACCATTTCACTTTACCAAGCGTTTGGAAGCTCCCTGTTTCCCTCTTTTTGGCCGGGGCAGTCGACGGAAGGAATTTTTGGTCCTTCTTCTTTTGAGTGCGGGGCGTGCTACCACCAAGCCTCGAATTTGAGCTTGAATGGAATGTGAATAGATGGATGTGTTGCGCTTCTAACTTTTGACCAAACAATTGATCGGCCAAGAAAGGAACCTCCTCTTGGCCTAGATTCTTTCACTTCCTCGGGCTCGAGGATGGTTAGGTTTCGTTCGGATGTTTTTGTAATTTTTAGGGTTTTATGTAAAAATAATGCAATTAAACTAAGGGAGACTTTGAAAAAACACAAAGGAGAGAGAAATTTTGTAAAAGAAGCCAAAATGGACAAAATTGCCCTTATTTATTTTTGGATTTCCTAAGAAATCCTTAACATTTACATGTCATTGATTTGAAATTTGTAGGGGTCTTTTTATTCCAGCAGCTTGACGAATGGGCTTGGGCTGCCGAAAAGAGAAACATGTGTGAAATTGCCCCTTGAGTCTGAGTTCAAGGATCAGGCCCCAAGAGTGTTTCGAAAGGGTAGATGAGCATTAGGAAACACTTCGGTCTTCTTCACCAACGAAACCAACAGTTGCTTACAGATAAATTCTTGTGCTTGGCACTAGAGCTTGTGGCATGGGAGCTGAGTATTCGTGAGTTTAGCATGAGAGAGAGAAGGCTTGGGGTTTCCTATGAGGAACAGAGGCTTTGAGAGAGATGAAGCTTGCTCTCTAAATCTGTGTTGTGGAAAGAGAGGTAGAAGATGAAAGCATGGATGGCTTTAGCATATTTCCAGCAGCTTGACAAAAGCTTCGTCAAGCTCATGGGCAATTTGACAGAGGAGAAAAATGGAAGCAATGGAAGAACAAGGCTTGAAATCGAAGGGTTCCAAAGATCAGAGATGATGCTTGCTATCCTTGGATGTGCGTTTTGAATGAGAGGAAGAGGAATGGAAGAACAAAGCATGAAATTGAAGGATTCCAGAGTGGATGCTTGCCTTCAATTCGTTCTTGTCTGTTCTGTCCATTGTGAGTTGTTTTGCTGGGAAGAAACTGTCTCCTTTTATAGGGGCCAGAAGACTCAATTTTATCAAGCCACCCTCTCCCCTTTTCCTTCACTTTTTTCCATTTATCTAGTTTGGTGAAATTTCTCTAGCCTGAACCCATAGGCACGTAGCTTTTTGGGGTTCCCAGGTCCTCAAGCAGCTGGACTCTTCATGTGGGTGAGGTGCCACCCACTTTTGGTTCTTGTTTTCTCACCAAAGCTTAAAGAGGAAAGAATGGGTAAGGGTGCTTGGTAAAAAAGGTGATCAGCACATGGGTTTGCTTGCTTTTGCTAGTTTGGCTTTGAACTAGTTTTAATAGAGCACAACGTTGGATATTTTATAAAATGCTAGGCTAGGCTGTTTTGTTTCCAGCGGTTTGTGAGTTCCCTTTGATTTCGTCAGAGTGCTGGAAGCTTTGGCTGATGTGGGATTTTTTATGAGCTATGGCTATTGGACATTTTTTAAAGATGTTTGGGCCTTTTCTTAAGGTGATGGGCTATTGGGTTTTCTCTCATGCTTGCCCATATGTTTGGACTCAAGGAATGGGCTTGAGTTTTGGTGCTCCCAAGTAGCCCGAAACTTCCACTCCTTGGACCATCAATGGGCCTCGTGAATACTCGTAACCATCAATACCACAACCTGCTCAGCAAGCCCCAGACATTAACGTGGCTTGGGCCCACTTAAGCTTGTAGCGTGGCATGTTGCTTATTTGCTTGGCGTGGCATGTGTGCAAAGCGTATATGACGAACTTTCGCATGCCCAAATCAGGTTTCTTCTTGATAAGGTATCACATTGGGCTGAAAATTTATTTGGGCCGAACTGTGGATTTTTTGGGCCTCAACAAAAGTTGAGAGGTTTTTCTGTCTTTTTTGAAAAAGCTTTGGCTTTTTCCAAAAGTGAATTTTTTTTTTCTAAAACCTAAATTTACTTTAAACTAAATATGCGTATAAACATAAAGACAAGAATTGAAGTGCGATAAAATAAATCAAATCGATAAATAAAGCAAGAACGAGATAAAAGCGATAAGAACGATAAAAGGAAATAAACTTGAAATTAAACTTAATTGAAGTGCGATAACAATGAATATTAAAGCAATAGAAATAAACTTGAATTTAAATGACAAGGAATATAAATCGAAACAAGAATTTAAATGACAAGAAAAATATAAACTTACACTAGAAATATGAAGAACTCACTACACTAGGTGTTTGAAAAGTAAAATCCTAAGTCTAGGAAAAGAAAAGTGTGAGATGAAAGATAAGTTTGTTTGTCTGATGTTGTGTGTCTAATGTCTTCATTGAGCAAGGTTTATATAGGGCACTCGTCAGCCCATGGGCTGGCCATTGAATGGCCAAAGGTCAACTCTTTTAAAACTTCTTTCATTTCGAAGCCCTCCTAAATCCATGGGATTGCATTGATTGAAACATTCTGACATGCTTTATTCTTCCTTGCTTTGGAACACTAGGAGTTATTATAAAAAAAATCCCTTGATTTATTTCCTTGTGAGGCCTCTATCACGTGCACATAATCCTCCAAAAATATAGGCTCGAATCGGTGTCTCGGGCTTAGACCTTTGATCTCTTGGCATGACATGAGGGTGCCCTTCATGTCCCTTGAATTCCTGAAGCTCTAAAATTGGTCTTTATGTCTATGTGGCTGGGGCTAGCCGCTTGAGTTGTATAGTTTAAATTAAATTCATATATATAATAGGCAATGAAGTTTCAATTTAATGAGCCCATCCGCATGGACCAAGCATTCCAATCGTACTGATTTGATTCATTCACCCACATATGCATGTATTAATATATATATATATATAGGTCAACTAATTTCAGCCCAATTTGCCAAGAAACCAAATACCCATCCTTCATTTTCCAAAACTGTTTGGGGCAGCAACTTATAGTGAAACTCAGCCGCAACTTCTAACAAGATTTGGTCGTAACTCTGCTCAGCCTGAATTACTGCGACCGCCAAACTTCAACATCTCGGCCGCGCACTTCTCCAATCTTGGCGGAGATTTCCAGCTCCATTCAAACTGCTAGCAGCAACTGGCTGCCCAGCTCCATACCAAGCTGCCCATTTTATCCGGTCGTAACCTTGCAGAGGGATCCGACCGCAAATCCCATTCAGCTCCAAACCCAGTCGGCCATCAAAACTCCGAGCTCCTAGCAGACCCGATCGCAGCAATTCTTCAAACCCCGGTCGCATCTCTTCACATAGCCCGGCTATGATTTTCAACACCCCCAAACCAAAAGGCTCAAATAAAGCTTTAGTAACAAACTCACAATGGCTAGCTTGTACCGATGTTTGGGGGTGGTCAAAATTCACCCAATTTGCCAAGGAAGAATTCCTAGAGGCCAAGAATTCCTAGCGGCCAGAGAATCCCTAGCGGGCAAGAATTCATAGCGGGCGAGGATTCCTAGCGGGCGAGAATTCCTAGCGAGCGAAGAAATTCCTAGCTGCCGAAGAATTCCTAGTGGCCGGAGGATTCCTAGAGGGTGAAGAATTCCTAGCGGCAGAGAATTCTTAGCGGCCGGAGGATTCCTAGCGGGCGAGGATTCCTAGCGGCCGAGAATTCCTAACAGCCGAAGAATTCCTAGCGGCCGAAGTACTTTCTCAAAAAGGTGGCCGATGTCTTTTCTTCAAAGGCCATGATGTCTTCTAAAAAATGGGGTCGAGATGTTTTCTTCAAAGGCCGTGGTGCCTTCTCAAAAATATGGTTGGGCGCTTCCTTATACAAAAGTGGTCGGGCATATCCTTGCAAAAGTGGCTGGGCATATCCTTACAAAAGTGGCTGAATGTTTCATTCTCAAAAAGTTGGGCTGGGCACTCCTCACCTTGGTTGACCACTCCTCTTACAAAAAGCTGGGCTAGGGCGAATTTTCTCCTTGCTCACCTTAGCGCCCTTCTCTCAACACTTAGGCAAGCAAAGTCGGGCCAAGGGAGTTGAAGTTCGATTGGAGGTATGTCCATCAAGTTCCAATATTCGAATATTTGAAAACTCAAATATAGTCCAACGTATGGCCAAGCCCAACATCCAAATATTTGGAGTTCCCATACCACCCATCTTGGCGGATGGTCGATGGATGGTACGCCAACTCTAGAATTCTAAAAACTCAGGGGACACAAGGTTCCACCAGATGTCAAGATGAAACCTCGAAGGTTAAGGCCCAAGCCACGGATTCTCGCCCAAGATTTCTGGAGGTCAATGTGCATATGATGGAGGCCTCACAAGGAAACAAATCAAGGAGATTGATGATAGTTCAGTATACTCCAAAATATGAGAGAATCAAGCAATCAGAATATTTCCACCAATGTGATCCCACGAATTCAAGGGGCTTCAAAAGGAAAGAGTTTTAAAAGAGTTGACATTTGGCCATTCAATGGCCAGCCTATGGGCTGACGAATGCCCTATATAAACCTCACCAAAGGAAGACATCAGACACATAATATCAGACAGACAAACCTAATTTTTGTCTTGCACTTTTCTTTTCCTAGACTTAGGATTTTACTATTCATGCACTTAGTGTAGCAAGTTCTTACTTTTCTTAGTATAAGTTTAAATTCTTGTTGAATTTATATTTTCTTGTAATTTAAATTCAAGTTTATTTCAATTGTTTTACTTTTCATTGTTATCACACTTCAATTAAGTTTAATTTCAAGTTCATTTTACTTTATTGTTCTTATTGCTTTCATTTCGTTCTTGCTTTATTTATCACTTTGATTCATTTTATTGCACTTTAATTCTCGTCTTTACGTTATTTATCTTTCACACTTTACTTTACGCATTTGTCTTTAAATTATATTTAAGTTTAAGCACCTTTACTTTATGCACTTATTCTTCGTTTCATTATGTTTCACCTTCAATCTTCATCTCCACCCACTCCACATCATTTTGGTCGCTCACATAAAGCCTTGACCCCGAGGTAGTGAAAGGACCTAGGCCGTGAGGAGGTTCCTTGCTCGAACGAACAATTGTTTGGTTAAAGTCAGATCTTGGATGCAACACATCCATCTACTCACATTCCATTCAAACCCAAATTCGGGGCTTGGTGGTGGCACGCGCCCAGCACTCAAAAAAGAAGAAGGATCAAAAGTTCCTTCCGTCGACCGTCCCGGCCAAAAAGAGGGAAAGAATCGATAAAATAAAATAAAAAGGCTTAAATGCAAAAATGGTCCCTGTGTTTTATCACGTTGGCCAATTTAGTCCATATGTTTTCAATTTGGCCAATTCGGTCCCTATGTTTAGGACTGTTAGCCAATGTTATCCCTTCTGTTAAATTTTTGTTGAAAAAATTAAAAACTATTTAAATATTGATTTTAAAAAATAACTATTTGAATACAAATTAAACTTCAATAAATAAGAACAAACTAAAAAATTAAAATCAAAAACTAAAAAAATTAAAATCAAAAACTAAAAAATTAAAATCAAAAACAAAAAAATCAAAAAAAGAAAGACGCCAACTCTAATCCCAACCGCCGCCGCCACCTTAAATCCCACCCACTAGCCACCATCTCCAAATCCCAGCCACAATTCACCACCCTTCTCTCTTCTCTCTCTCTCCCAACAACAACCTACCACCCCAACTCCAATCAACCTCACTCTCTCTCTCTCTCTCTCTCTCTCTCTCTCTCTCTCTCTCTCTCTCATAAGAACAATCCTTACCTTCACATTTCTGAATGTTTCAGTAGGTAGTGCCTTGTGGGGATTTCCTTGAATTAGTTTTTGGTTTCGTTTGTTTCTCTCCCTCTTGGTCTTGCCCCTCCGCTCATCGCTCTCCTTCCCACCTCTCCATTCACTGGGCAAACCATCCCCTCCCCGACAACATTTTTTTCTTCAAGTTTCTTCTTTTCTCATGTTATGATTTACTTTTAATGAATTTTTCATGTTTTTAGATTAATTTTAAAAAGTTTTATAGGTTTTTAAAAGACACAAAAATGTTTATTATGTGTATTTAACAACAAATTTAATGGAATGGACAATATTGGCTAACGGTCCTAAACACAAGGATTAAATTAACCAATGTAGTAAAACATAGAGATCATTTTTGCATTTAAGCCAAAAACAGATAGTCAGACGCATGTTTGTTTGAGATGGCCCATTCCTTGTAAATGTCCAATAAGCTCACAAATTGCTTTACAATATAAAACAAGCATTGGGCTTCACACAGATAGAAAACAGGGTGAAGGTTTGAAACCAAAACTTTTTCAAACCCCTTACATCACTCTTGGTGCCCGAAACAAAAGAAAATAAAGTGTTCAGACACTTGTGTCCCCTATGTATTCCAAGGGACGAATACGTGAGTTCACTACTTGCAGCACAAAGCTAAGAAAGTGCACAAGAGTGTAAGGGAAGGTTCAAGAGAATTAAATCAATTGACGGTCAAGGAGGCTCAATAAAATTCTTATGGCATTCGGGTCTATCTGTCTCAATTCTCAAATGCAAGATGGCTACCAAATTTGCCCACAAAAACCCAACAAGAAATATGGGAATCAATCGTTGTGACAAAGAAACTATTTAGAAATGAGTGTCAAGCCACTCAACCATGCTGTGACGGTGACTCCAATTCAAATAAATGATTGGTCAAGCTCCGAGCATCAAGCTCATTCCCAAAAGATACCAAAGGAGCATCAATATGGCTTAATGGGTTCGTTCATCATAAGAGCCCATTAATCTCAAATCCTCAAAACCATGCTTGAGGAAAAAATGCAAGTGTCAATGATTGAGTTAGTGGGTTCATCAAAATAGCTCATTAATTTTCTTTGACATTGACAATAAAAATGGTACAAAACCATTAGAAATTTTCTCATGGGCCTACCCTTGCAAATTTCAATGAGATCACATTCAAATCTCTCTAATACAAATTTTCGAACTATGTCTATTTGATCCTGTGAATGGTACATAGGCAGTCTAGCATCCTAATAGACGCAACCACAACCAAATTTGAATCCTTGGTTTATCCCAACCAAATTTGCGAAAACACTTTTCCAAGTGCAAATGTCAATTTTAGAAAATTAGTGGGTTAATCAAAATTGCTCATTATTTTTCTTTGAAATTGACAATAAGAAAAATGGTACAAAATCATCCAATTTTACCCATGGGTCATCTACCCATGCAAATTTCAATGAGATTAAATTCAAATCTCTCAAATACAAATTCTCAATTAGTGGGCCACACTTACCCATTAATTTCCAATTTTTCTCATGGGTCACCTAGCTATGAAAATTTTAACAACTCCAAATTGTCTCAAAGACACAAATTCTTAATTAGTGGGTCACACTTACCCATTAATTTCCAAATCAATTCCGAACTATGTTGGTTTGATTCCTTCGAAAGAGTACATAGGCAATCTAGAGACTCAATCTAGATGCAACCGCCCAAATCGTAAATCCAAACAAATCCCTGGTTTATTCTTAACCAAATTTTTGGTTTATTTAGCTGAATTCACTCAATACAATTCAAATCAAATTTCCCTCGCAATGAGTCATTTATTCATTGCAATTCTTTGAACTACGAGTGGCTTGATTTCCGTAAGGGATACGTAGGCACCCTGAGGTTCAATTTAGGAGCAGCTACGAAACCAAACACACACGTTCTGTTTCTTTATGATGGAATCAAAAGGTGTTCCTTTGAAGCAAGAGATTGTAATTAAAAGACACTGCGTCTCGAATGGTTCAAACCTAAAATAATAAAACTCAATTATTTAATTAGTGATGGTGAAATTATGTTGGGAGGTTCACATTTTTCTTCAACAGGAACAGTATCGGTGTTATTAGTAGTGGGCCGATGACCCATCTCTTTGAAATTTAACATTTAGTAGGCCGTCTAATCTGATTGAATTCCGTTATTGTAACCCCTCAATATAGCCCCTCCATATTGAACACCAAGTAGATCAAGTTGATCAAACCTGCGGTTCTCATAGTCATACTATATTTTGCAATCAATCGACTTGGACAATTGGATAATTTTCCAAATTTCTCAATCATGCCTTCATCATGATAATGAAATATTGTTTGACACATTTCATGTTGTCAGTTCGAAGAATGTGTTTAAGTTACTCCTCTTGGAATGCGATGGGTTTTAGATAAAAAGATAAGGTTGTTGTTGTTGTTGTTTTGATGACGACTTTACCAAGCATAACTGGTAATAGCACTTACACAAAGTGCTACCAATTTCAAAATTTTCCCCTCTTTTTCCACATGTTGGTGGGACTTTACCTTGACCCTTTTTACGCTTACCATGTTTCCTGCCTCATATTTTTTTCACTGTCTTTTCAGCCTATTACCTAATCTTGACTCCTAAAAGTCACTACATTTTTTAGGTAACTCCTAACTCATAATAAAGAAAACTACAAACAAAAACAAAAAATAAACCAAATCATTTAGCTCAACTTTTTTTTATTTGGTCTTTCAATCTAGGTGACATTCTTACATTGAGGTTTAAACAATTTTGGTTTATTAATACAATGATGTATTATTTTAAATTAATTTAGTTTATGAGGCGAGAGATTCAAACTTAAGTGTAAGGGCCAGTTTGGGATTGTTGTCACTTTTTAAAAAAGTTGATTTTGATGTGCTTTGAAAATAATTAGCTTAGTAGCTCCATGTTTGGTAAACAATATTTTTAAAGTGTTGTTAGTAGAAAAAGTAGTGTCAAAACTGTTTAGTAAATGTTAATGTAAAACTGTTGTAACTGTGAATTATAACTAAAATATACATAATGTTGAAAGTATTATGCACTAATCATGTGGTAGTGATGGTGGTGGTCGTGGAAGTGGAGGAGGTGGTGCTAATGGCAGAGGAGAATGTGGTGGTGGTGGCAGTGGTAGTGGTGGAGGTGGTGGTGGAGTTGGATGTGGAGGGGGAGGTGGTGTCATTTTTAAAAATTAATGATGATATTTTGGTAATTAAAAAATTCATTAAAGGCTCATATCTGCTACTTTTGAAAGCAGCTTTACAAAGTAACCCAGAGCCTGCTTTTAAAAGTTGCTGTCTAAAGGCTACTACTTTTAAAATAATTGGGATATTTTATTTTTACCAAACACCTTAAATTGCTTAACTTTAAAATGAAGCATGTTTTCAATAAAAAAAACAAAAACAAAAAAACAAGCAATCCCAAACGGGACCTAAGAGCATCTCCAACCAATATGTCAAAAGTGTCACATAGACATTTAACGGTTATAAATAACATCTAACATCACTCCAGCCGAATTGTCAAAACTGATGTGGAATAAAGGTTAGAGGTTCAGCTGTTATTTTTGACATCCCAAAAGCAAGATGTCAAATGAATATTTTATTATTTTTAAAGACAGCTGGCTGTTACTTTCATTTATAATTTTACTTTTTTAATTTTTTTCTTCTTTATCTTTAATTATTGGACTATTACAATAATTATTTATTTGACATATCGGGTAGAGTGTAAAATTGTTTAAATATCAAATTGTCACATCATCCATCAAATTTAAATTTGATGTTTGGTATTTGACATCTCCCTTGGAGATGCTCTAAGAGGACGAACTCATTTTCTTGGCTGAGCAGTATGTCGGAATTTTTAACTTTAAAAAACAAAAAGTGTTTTTTTAAGAACCGCTTGAAAATACTTCCTAATAAAGCACTAATTAAAAAGTGTGTTTATCTTAAACTGTTCTTAGTCCTTTCAAAAACACTACTAAACGGTATAAATAGTTGGATCAAAATTTTCAATGAGTGCTTCTCTTTTTGGTGGTCCCTCATGTTGCTTACCTTTAATTCCTATCGTTTTTTTAATAGTTTAGTGTAATAATAAGTCTGCCTTTTTTTGTACGGGAGAAGATTAAGATAATTAAATTAAATTCTAGAGCCTTGCGATAATCATGACAAACAAAGGCCAAAATGGATGGTCACACCGATGCCATGGCCTTTTTTAGGGTCGTTTTTTTTGTTTTCGAAGAATGAAAAGAAGCAAATATGCGTTCGGTGGGTTAAATGGAAATACATAAACGATTTCAGAATTACTCTTTAAGTTGGAAAACAAAAACAAAATGATGTTTTCCGTTTCCAAATTCTATTTCAAAAAAGGAGAAAACATGAGAAACGGAAGAATTGCTCCCTCTGCCGCATTCATCACTTCTTTGTCAGCCACAAAATAAGTACTAATGCGAGCATACATTTGTGCACTACGTTGGTGGGTGGTCGCACATTATCTAAATTTTCTTAAAGTAATGTATAAGATATATCATGACGGTGTATCCGAATAACAAGTAAATGGTGACAATATACCTGAGGAATAAGTAGATCGTGATGGTGTATCTGAAGAACAATTAAATTGTGACGCCGTACTTGAAGAACAACTAGATCGTGACAAAGCATCCGAAAAAAGCGTGGATTGTAAAAATTTCTCCACCAAAACTTTAAAAAGGAAAGAATACAAGAAAAATACAGATCTTTAATTAGGAATATGTTAAGAACGTTAGAAAAACAAAAATTAAGTGCCTTTGAATATTAAAATAGAATATAACGGTTGTTTTTTTTCACATAAAAGTAATTAAATGAAAATATATTGTCGCAAATGATGGAATTAGTCACAACAAATATTTTGTTTCGAATTATTTCTGTCTTGAAATTCTACAATTACTACACTTCCCAAATTTTACAATATTACACAAATATTAACCACAAAAAAAAAAAAAAAAAAAAAAAAAATTTCTATCTTTGCCCAAAAATAAATAAAAAATAATTAGTTAACTCATATTTGTAGTCACTAGTTAGCTAGCAGTGAGCAGTCCATGCAACTCGGAAACTCAGCTGAGTCGTCTCAACTCGACCCGCTCCACTCAAAATCCACAGCTAACATACTGATTTATCAGCAAGCCCGTGAAGCAACGGCCGAGATTCACCCAAATATTCAAGCTGACTCAAAACATCCACGTGGCAGCGTCTCTGGAGATCATCGATGCTTAAGAACCGCCCGGAGTTACTGGACTCGGACCGGGCCACGACCCGGAGAACCTCCTCGAAAAACGACTCGTCGCACGGGATAGTCAAGGGCCCTTGGTTGGCGAAGCCGTACTCCTCCTCGGCTTGTACTAGAAGCTTCTGGAAGATGGGGTGGTTCAGGTACGTTGCGCGCACGATAAACCGCCTGCAGCTGCTCCCCACGCAGACCGCCACGTGTCCTGCGGGAACGTCGGACGGCGCACGTGCTGCCGCGAGGCGGGCCTTCTTGTGCCAGCTTTGTAGCATTTGGCGGATTCTCACAATGCGTCGGATTTTGTTGCATTTGCTGATTGCTGGTGACATTTTCCGGGAAAGCGAGGGGAAGAGTGAGAAAGTGTGGGAAAAATAAGTCTTAGGAGAAAAAAGTGTAAATGGGTGGGTGTATGAGAATTGTTCGGGGGGAAGGGATATTATATGGGTTTGGGGGAAGAGAAATGCCCCTGGAGTTGGAGATAATTACGAGATTGCGGGTGTTTAAGTTGTTGTCAAGGCCATGTGACGGGGTAGACGGAAAAGTTGAGATGCTAACATGGGATTTAGTTTTGCTAATCTTTAGTTTCTTGATAGATGTGCCCCTCATTTATTTGGAGATAGATAATTGCTTTATTGGCTCACCAAATAAATAAATGTTTTGCTTGATTGGCGGCGTAAAGGAAAAATTATTTTAAGAAAAAAAAAGTACTAGTAATGTACAATGTGCAATAAGAAAGGAAAATATAACCACAGGTGCGGTGCAGTTGGTAAACTGTCACATTCAGTTGATGAGCTAGCTAATATCTTAATGGCAGGGGTTCAAAATTCTAATTGTGGCCAAGGCAAGCCAAATCTTGAGCGGAGATTAATCTCATCTTTATAAAACCTATTTGAAGTGAAAAAACCAAAACTAGTCACTCGTCATCTTAAAAAACATACTAAAAACCAATTAGAAAGTGACAAGTAGTTAAGTTTGAGTTTTTCTCTCTAAATAGATTCAATAAAGATTTTATTTATTTATTATGTCGTGTTAGATGGGCTCACATATGAAAAGCCCATGAAAACAAATAATATGAAATAAAACTACTTTTGGAAGCTTTGAAGCATGACATGGGTTGTTCTGTGACCAACAAGCAGGTATATTCAATTGGATTCTCTCTGGTAATGCACCAAAAAGAGAAAAGAGCATTTTGTGTTTCTGTCCCTAAAAAACATTTTAGGTTTGGGAATAATGTCTTCCAACCAACAGATGCAATGTGTTTAGTAATGTTACAAAACAGATGTGTTTTTAGGTACGGTCAATCAAGGAACATGGAGAGGGGTCTGTGAGTCAAGGAACATGGAGAGGGGTCTGTGTGCTTTATCTCAAATAGCTTTATGATGGGACCAAGGACTAGAAACTAGGTTTTCAAGTCTGACTGGAAGGAAAATAAAGTAATTTTTCCATAGATGAAGTGGAATGAAAGGAAAAATCTACCCCAAGGAGATCATAATCATCAAAGTCAAATTCAATTACAATGGAAGGGAAACCATATAATTAAATTGTTCCTTTTTCTTTTATCAACAAGAGAGGGACACTCAAAATTGGGACCTCTTCAACATTAAAACTAACGACCAAGAGGGACATGAGGATGATGAGAGAGTGACAAAGTGAGAGAAGACGAGAGAGGGATGACAATGAGGGCAGCTCTGTAACTTTCTATGTGAGCACACGGAAAAAAGAAACAATTATTTAGTATGGTTTCTTTTTAACCGAATCAAGAAATTCAAACAAAAACAGAATCGGTCTGGTTTTATTCGGTTCAAACCTACCAGTTTTTATGCCCAACCCTAAAACTAGTAAAGATAGACTATGCTATAACAGTCATCTAAGCAATAGCAACTGTGAGTAGCATTGCTCATGTTTGTTTTGTATATATTGTTGCCCCATATTTATATAACAATACTGATATGATTGGATTATATTCTATTTGTCTGTGCAATGCAATAGAACAAGTTGAAGATCAATGAAGTGCATGCTAATCAAATTTAATCAATTCAAATGCTCTTCTTAATCTTGATAAAATGTGCATAGGATTTTATGCTGGGAAGATACATGTGCATCAAATAAGCCTTCAGAAATGCACCCAAAATAGGGCATCAATGAATAATTTATTGGACTTAGTTTTGGCAACTTAGGAGCATGACATTGGTCTGAACTTGTAGTGTTCTCTGATCAACAAACAGGCTCTGCTCATACAAGATTTTCTTCCCAAACACAAAATCAGCAAACCAGACTTTGGACCACAGCATCAATAATATTTTTTTATGCAGAAACACCTGCTATGGAACCCTCTGAGTTTTTTCTCAATCTGAATTTGTTGTCAGATTATAAAAAGAAACACTTGATTAAACATCCCTCCCCATTTCTTAGCCATCCTTTTTGGCATTATATTTGATACGATTCGATCAGAAAGCTAACTGTTTTTGTGTTTGCGGTTGAATGGACCACATGGTATCACAATTTTAAATACACTTAAGCTACAGTTATAGTTAATAATCATTTGACCCCACATTCGATTTTTTTTTTCATGTTGCTAAAGTTATGAAATTCGAACATGAGGCCACAAGTTTGCAAGTCAAGATAATTTTTCAATGAGGTAGTCCTGGTGACATTTAGATTTCATTGAAAAATAGTAAAGGAAAAATCTTGTATACATAATGTGTAATTGTTTAACGGAAAGATTTGATTTAGCGACTCACTCGTAAATCTAATAGCATTTAGTTTTCACTTTATTAGAGAAAGTCGTGGGCTTAAATCCTTCAAAAAGGCAGTTGGTTTTGTGGTTGAAAATGATGTTCTCAGACTGGTGATATACAGCTTGATGATTATGTCCTTGGACAGTAAACTTATTATTTAAAGGGTCAGCCAGCAAAATTATTGGCTCTCATTGAGTGCTTGGCCTTTAATCATGAGTAGCAACTTTGGAAATGCACAATCAATTTACTGGTACTCCCTGCTTAAGTCCACAAAATTATATTAATTAAGCTCGAAATGGACAGATATAATTTTTCTTCTAGTGCTTTTTGTTTTTTTTTCCCTAACCCCATGATCTCTTGTCGACCAGTATCTTTTTATCACAGTAATACTTGATTAAAATAGAACATAATCAAGATTTGGAGAATATTTGATGGGACCATTTTGTGGAGTGATTTGATTAGGAGCCACGGATATTTTTAAAAGTTCCAAATATAAAAATAAAATAGAAAATGGAAAATGTGGCTGTTCAAACTTCAATGTGTTCATCTCAGCCAAAAGAGGAAAAAAAATCTAAGAGTTCAAACTGTTTTCTGACCAAAATAAGACATGAAAGTTTATTATGCTGTGATTCTTGCGCGTTTGTTAGCCGAGTCATTTTATAGTGAGGATCTTATCTATGGTCCTTAGGTGAAGTTCTATTTCTTAACTTTTGAATCAGGCTAACCAATTTAATTCAATGACTAACCGATTTAATCCAACGGCTAAAATATATGACCTCACCTAAGCCCCTACTATAGAAATAGTCTGATAGCCTAAACAAGAATTGCCAAATAGCTGACTGGGCCCTATACATTGGATTTGGCCTGTAACTTAGAAAACTTGGACCACAAAAATTGTTTGGGTCTTCAGACCACAAATGAAAATATAATGTCGCAAGCAGACCCACACAACAGTAGTACCCCACCCAACAATATGCAATATCATCGCTCAGCCCACCTACCTTCAACTTCCCACTACTTTATATAGGCGCTCAGATACTTTACTGGCCATACAAAAAATGCAAATGGAACTGCACAGAGAACAAAAACCACATTTAGAGGTGGGTGGTCCATACATGAAACTATAAATGGTGGATTAAATTTTTTATAGGTGTACTAAAGCTCCTATTTAAATAAAGTACTACTTTAGATCCTATTTAGGGTTGTGGGAAATTATGAAGAGTGATGAAAAGAGTAAGGATAGTATGTAAGAAGAATGATTAAAAAAATGTGGAAAATTATGTAGAAATGAGGTTGGTATTTACCAAAAAATTTAGGAATTTATAGAAAAAATTTAGGATTTTTTATGAATATATATATATAACGGTTAGCTAATGTCAATAGCTAGAGAGACGCTGGACTTTGCAGGTTTTGTCCAATGAACAAAAGCAGCAATTGCTTGCTTTTGAAAAGAAAAAATTATAGAAAAATATATAGCCCACCCAAGAATCAGGCCACATTTGGCCCTTTAATTGGGTTTGGCCCAGTAACATGGCACATTTAGCTCACTTACTAGAGATCGATTCAGTGTGAGATTTAGCTCACCGTTGGAAATGGCCTAAGATTTTCGCAAAAGCTTTCAACTTTACCACTTCCATTTTATTTAATTTAAGAAGAAATATAGAAAAATGATCTGAATTTTTTATTTAAAAAAAGAAGAAGAAGAAGATAACAAATTATCTTGATGAACCTCAGCCTCGTCTCTTGCAGCCTATCAGAAATTCAACCAAAGAACATCATCAAAGAGAAGTAGTGACAGTCACCCAAGTGAAGAATAAAATAGCAAATGGAGAGGGATTCTAATAGAAATTGCAAAGACAAAGTGATGGTTGAAGTGTTGTCAACATGCCCTGAGAACCAATAAAATCTATATGATGAATCTCTATGAATTAGTTCGTTTAATTAACTCTGTTTTTTTTTTTTTTTTTTTTTTTTTTTTTTCTTTTTATTGTTATGCTCTTGATTTGTTAGGTTTGCAATTATGGGAGATGACTCTGAGGGATACGATGACAAAGTTCTTCATAGTGTCACTAGATGAGAACCAAGGGACACTGGGTCAAGTTCGATGGTCATCGGGTTGGGTACAATTGTCTCTAAAACACAACAGATATAAGAACTAAGGAGGCAGTGCAAATTTTCGTAGAAAATGCAATATTCTAACAAGAAGAATCAGAACCCTAAACCGCCAATCACTCCCAACACAAAGCCACATCTTCGACATTTTTTTTATCATTTTTATTTTTGAAAAATGACTCTTCAACACTTACTTGAAGGGGAAAACGGATATTGAGTTTTGGTCACAAACTTGAAAATTCGAATTCATCAATGAAATCGATTCACAAAATGTAACTCAGAAATTGGTTAAAGCCTTTGAGTTCTACTTTCTTTTGGCTATCTACTCTCCATATTCGTTGTGGATGTACATTTGGAGGTTGTCTATCAACACCTACATGACTTAGAGGAACATTTTATATGGAGTGAACTCGGTATTTTATTCTATTTTTAGAGTTTATACTTTGAATTTTTTAGGTTTGCAATTATGAGCTAGAATTGTGAGAAATATGATGCACAAGTTCTTCTCCACGTAAAGGAACAAATTCATAGGGAAGTTAAACGGAGGTAAGACTCATGCTATGGGAAAAACAGTCGATGATGTACTTACCTAGAAAGCCTTTCAAATTTTAAGATTAAAGAAAAATTGTGATAGTTAGAATGTCCAGTTCGGGGTCAACGACCGGGTTCAAGATCTGGGGAATGGACCATGGGTGCACTGACGCGAGTCATAGTGTATGTTTGAGTCTTTTTATAGTATAATCATTATAGGGTGATCGAGAGGTACCCATGCGAACGTACATGCTATCCTTTGATCACCCTGCAATGACTGTCAAACTCAAGCATAGGATACCAAACAACATTTAATTAGTTTTTCATATTTTGGAAGCTGGTAACAATTACCACCAAACAAGTTTCTCGTTTTAAGCTCCTTGCCAACAACCAACCTCAAGAAAGCCAAGGGGGGGAGGTGGCCATTGCCTCTCCTCTCCTCATCTCCCCTTCCTTTTCTCCCATTATTTCCCTTCCTCTTATCTCCTCTTCGCCTTCTCTTCTCCTCCCCAAATAGTCTAGATCTGTTTGTCTGTTTGGTTGTTTTTGTAGCGTTCTAAGGGACTAGTGTTGTCTTTGTCTCGATACGGCGGCAGTAGTGACGCTGGATTGTGTCTCTCATCGGGAGAGTTGTGATACCTGGTGGCTGATGTTTTGTATATGTTTCAACGGCGGCGACAGCAACGACGCTAGTGGTAGTTGTTGGGATGTGGTGCTCTTCTCTACTCTACGCCGATCGAAGAACTATGCTTGGTCATAGGGGGTTTTCTTTGTCAGGTTTTGAGTTGAAGTGAAGTGTGTTGAGGCCCAAAAATTCCATAGTTGGGCCCGAATAAATTATCAGCCCAAAACGACACTCTACTAAGGAAAAGCGTAAAGCGGAGTACACGAAAACCCACCACATGCGAGTTGTAGTTCACGTGCCATGCTAAATAAATTAGCCATGCTAGGGGTTGAGATAAAATATACCGGCTCTACAAGCCCATGCCAAACTTAAACATCGCAGTTCTTCCCAAGGACGATAAAATTAAAACATGCCAAGCAACATGCCATGCCAAGCACAAAATCGTTATCTCACACCTAACCGCGCTACAAGCCTAAGTGGGCCCAAGCCACAAAATTAACCGGGGCTTACTGAGAAGGTTGTGGTATGGAAGGAAACAAGCAATTACGGGGCCCATTGAGGGTTCAAGGAACGTAAGTTTCAAGCCACTTGGGGGCTTTGAAACTCAAGCCCGTTCCTAGAACCCAAGCACATGGGTTAGCATGAGAGAGAGGAGAAAAAATTGACCCATGCTCTAGGAAGACACCAAAGAACCTACCAAGATATTTAGCCCAGCCCACATCAATAGAATTAAAGGGAAAGCCTTTCCAGCAGCTTGACGAAAGCCTGTCAAACGATAGAAGCAACAAAGCCAGAGGACCCAATACCATATGTACAAGCCCAAGCCCAAGCCCAGCAACTTACAAAAATCTGGCGTCAAGTCCTATTCCCGTTTGAATTCCAAACAATGGTCATAAGGGAGCCATGGCAAGACCAGAGGAAATCCATGGGGGTGAGGGAAGTGTCCATCGGACAAAAGGCTCCATCTCTCCCCTTTTCCTCTGTAAGCTCTGCCTTGGAGAAAACATAAGGAAAGCAGGTGGCGCCTTCCCCTCTATGGGAAAGCCCAGCTGCGTCAAACCGTTGGAACCATAAAGGGTTCCTTACCCATGCTCCTTGGATGGAGAAATTCATCAAAATAGGGCTAAGTAGGAGCTGCCAAGGAGAAAGGAAGAAGAAAACCAGACGAAATTAGAGCTCCTAACGCCTATAAAATGAGACTTTTGCTACCCAGAAAAGACATCCACAACTAAACCATCCAAAGCCTGACCAAGCTTTGTCAAGCAACCTGGAATCTACTCAAGCCACCCAAACCTTTCTTTCGTTCATCCTTCTTCTCCCTTAGGATAGGAATCGTGCTAATATTTCCTCTGTAAGAAACCAGAGCCTGACCAAGCTTTGTCAAGCAACCTGGAATCTACTCAAGCCACCCAATCCTCTTTCTCCGTTGTTTTCTTCTTTCCCTGAGATAAAATCTTGCTAATATTTCCTTCGTTCCCAGTTTAGATTTTATCCTCTGCAAGAAACTCATGCTGTTCTCTCTCTCTCTCTCTCTCTCTCTCTCTCAAATTGCTAAACTCGTGAAAGCTTAGCTCCCATGCCACATGCTCCTCAGGCTAAGTCATTAGTGAAATCATCATGCTTATTTGGGTGTTAGTAAAGTGATCCTGAGAGTGTTCTTTTAAAATCTCATCAGATTTTCTAAAAACTCTCTTGGGAGCTTGGTTTCGAACTCAGGCATTTGGGGGATTTTGCTCGTTGTCTTCTTACAGCAGCCCAAGCCCATTCGTCAGGCTGCTGGAACAAAAAACCCCCTACATAAATTGGCGACTCTGCTGGGGACCAAGTTGCCATTTTACTGATGCCTCCAAGGAAGAAAGCCAGAAGCAACAACATGACCTCTCAAGACAGGCCAAACCATGGTGACTCGGAATCAAGGCAATATGCCTCCTCAAGAGAAGAAGAACGTCATAGTGAGGGAGCTTTCACCCTCACAGACGTTGTTGCAGCCATCCATGCTATGGGAGAGACTCAGAAGAAAATGGCAGAAACAATCAAAGAGCTGAAAAGTTCGATTGCTAAGCCGAGTGAAGAAAACGATAGGCTTCCACAGGAGGAGCCTGTCGCTGCCAGAAAAAGTTCTGAACAAAAGGAGCCATCATTTGTCACTCACGAAGATGTCATTGCCATGCTAGAAAAGAAACTAAGTCGAAGTCAGGAAGATTGGAAGTATCTTCCTCAGCCACCGTACCCAGCAAGCTTACTCCAGCAGCCCTATCCCAAAGGTTACGAAACACCAACCTTTGTTATTTTCGATGGGAGGAAAGGAAGCCCAAAGGAACATGTCAACCGATTCCTTGATGCTTTGGGACCATACGCCGGTGATTATAATCTTCGACTCCGAGAATTCTCAAAGAGCCTCACTGATCGGGCTTATACATGGTACACCACATTGGCACCAGGCTCTATGCGTTCCTGGGATGATTTGGCGAGCAGGTTTTGTAAAAAATATTTTCAGCACGAGGAGAAGGTTACCACCACGCAGCTCAATAACACTCGCCAAAAGCAAGGGGAAGATCCCGTCGACTTTGTGAGAAGGTTCCGGGACTTGGCTCTCGATTGCTATGACGAAAAGGATGAAGAGGCACTTGTTGAGATTTGCATCAGCAACATCGTAGCAGACTATAGAGTGTACTTGGAAAATATTGGCATTCGTCAATTTTCCCGGCTGCTGGAAGTAGTAAGAAAGACGAGCATGTCTGTCAAACCAGCGAGGACTTGGAGGAGCGATAAGAATGAGACATACCAAGCATTAGCCATAGATGACGAACCATCCAACTACTGCCTGTCATAGTCTAAGGAGGATTTTACATGCTAAAATACATAAGGGAGTCCTTGAGCTTCCCTCTAGGAAGCAAACAATAGATGAAGACCCCTTGCCAAAACGAAGGGGAAAAGAGGTAGCTGCTGTCATTACATGTTCCGATGATTTGCTTGATGATGACGAATTGTGCCACTCGTGGAGAAATGACCCAAAGCCGTTGGAAGCTATGTGGGAACCTTGCGGAAACATGGAGAATGCATATTGGTGTAAATATTTGAAGCATGCCATGGCCGCTCGCTGATGGATAGGGTGACGACCCAGGCAATGAAGTTTTTGTCCTGGACATGCCGGAAGAATGCTACTCGGGGTCTTCATTGGGATAGCATGAAATAGCTGCTGTAACATTTCATAACCTTACAGAGGCTGAAACAGGTGCGATGGAACGACATTTAAGTCTGAAACAGGGGCCCACAGCTTCGCATGTCTTCTAAAGAAACCCGAAATTCAAGTCACTCTTTGACCAACTTGGCTTTAGGCCTCAAGCTAGAGAAGTAGTTGTTGTAGCTCTCATGAACATCTCTGCAGAATCCGATCCTCGTTGCTTCACCGCTCAACTACAAAGGTCATTTTTAGGAAATGACAATGCTATCGTCCTCATAGACGAGGACATGGAAGTTCCATACCCATAAGAGGCCACTTTATTTGGAGGGACAAATCAACGATGTGTTTATAAGAAGAGCTTTGGTAGACACGGGCTCCTCTGTCAATATACTACCTCTGTCTGTGCTTATGGCAACTGGTATTCCATTATCCAAAATCGTGCAATCTCAAACAAGCATCAGCGATTTCGGGAATAAGAGTAAGATCACGGTCCGACACATGCAAGTAAACTTGAAGGTGGGGCCAATCCGGTCTTACCAAGTTTTACGTGGTAGATGTGAATGTGGCTTACCATGCTTCGCTTGGAAGGCCATGGCTTAACAAGCATAAACTTGTAGTCTCTATTTACCATCAATGCATGAAGGGAAGGATTGGGCTGAGGTCATTCCGCATACCTGAAAACCAAGCACTATTCAACAAAAACAAAGCTCACTACCCCGAGGCAAAATTTTACACCGAATGCACAGGCGCTAGAAGCAAACCATCTAAGGATTTCGGGACCTATCTCCCTTCATGGACTGAAATTCGTGATCTAAGCAACGAGGAGCTCATCACCACTGTTGATCGAGAAAGAAAAAAGCACTCGGAGGTCAATAACCATGCCTACGACCATCCCCAATGCTCAAAGGTGACGCTGCCAGATGGGCGCACGGTGTATCGCTTATGACGGGATTGGGGGCTTAACCGTGTCCTGCTGGAAAGCCCCCAGTATGGAGGAGAAGCAATGCAAGCGAACAGCCATAAGGATCCAGATGACAAGGCATCCACGCCTTGTGCTTTCCAAGAGCCAATGACAGCACATAGACACATGCAAGATGGATCAACAGCGGTAGCTGAGCAGCTGGAAACAATTGATTTGAGTGAAGATCCCTCTGCCCCAAGACCCATCTCCATCAATGTTCAATTAACAAGTGAAGAGAAGGAACCTTGGTATCTCCATAAGTCATACTTTGAATATTGAGCTTGGTACAAAACCTGTTGTGCAGCCAATGAGGAATTTTCATCCTAAAATTGAAAAACAAATCAAGGTGGAAATTGAAAAGTTGTTAGTTGCTGGATTCATCAAACCAATCAAGCATCCAACATGGCTAGCAAATATTGTTCCCGTGAAAAAGAAGACTGAAGTAATTAGAATATGCACGAACTACCGAAACCTCAACCGAGCTTGCCTAAAGGATGAATTCCCACTGCCCAACATGGATGTATTGATTTATTCAACCTCGGGTCAAGGCTTGCTGTCATTCATGGATGTGTTCAGTGGCTATAATCAAATCAAGATGTCACCCAAGGATGCTAAGAAGACAGCTTTTCGAACGCCCTACAAAAATTTCTACTACAAGGTCATGCCATTCAGTCTCAAGAACGCCGGTGCTACCTACCAACGGGCCATGATGGCAGTGTTTCATGATATGATGGGAGAAGAGGTGGAAGACTACGTGGATGATCTTCTAGTAAAATCCAAAATCAGAGGAAGTCATTAGGAAGTTCTGAGGCGGGTGCCGGAAAGGTGCCGGCCGTACGAGTTAAAAATGAACCCAAAGAAATATGCATTCGGAGTCTCATCCGGCAAGTTCCTGGGCTTTCAGGTACACCAGCGTGGTATAGATGTGGATTCTGAGAAAACCCAAAGCCATATGCTCTCTTGCACCACCTAAGAATCCAAAGGAGTTGAAAAGTTTTATGGGAAGATTGTCATACATTCGGCGTTTTATTCCAGGCCTTGTTGCCATGATGAGTGTTTTCACTCCTCTACTCAAAAAAGGGAAGCCATATATATGGAGCCAGGAATGCCAAGAAGCTTACCAACAGGTACAACAACTGATCACCAAGCTGCCCATGATGAGGGCACCTATTCCAGGACTTCCACTCAAGCTTTACTTGGCTGCAACGAACACAGTGGTTGGGGCTTTGCTTGCCCAAGATGATCATGGTGGGGAAGAGAATCCCATTTATTATGTGAGTAGGCAATTAAGGGGAGCTGAAACGAGATATCCGAAGACCGAACTCTTGTGCCTTGCTCTTGTCTATGCTGCGCAGCACCTGCGACACTACTTCCTTGCTCACAAGCTACAACTCATAGTAAAGTCTGATCCCGTAAGATACTTGCTCACAAGGCCGGTGTTATCTGGACGTCTTGCATGTTAGTTGCTGCAGCTGTCTGAATTCGATATCACATGCACCACTCCAAAAGCCATCAAAGGATAAGCCGTGATTGACATGCTGGCTATATTTCCTGAAGTAGAGGAATCAACTCTTTCCAAGGAAGTCCTGGGAGAACTGTCGGAAATGGTTGCTATTGTTACCGAGGAGGAGTCATGGACCCTCTACTTTGATGGGTCTTCCACATCAAAAGGTGGAGGGGCAGGTGTCGTGCTCATTAATCCCAATGGGCAAGCTACGGCTCTCATTCAAGCTAGACTTTCTATGCACGAATAATGTGGCGAAGTACGAAGCCTTTATTATGGGATTGTCCATAGCAAAAGAAATGGGTGCAGAAAAGGCGAAGATCATCGGCGATTCGAACCTAGTACTAAGTCAATTGCAAGGAAGCTTTGCTGTGAAGAAAGCAACCCTGGCACCATATCGGACAGCTTCTGAAAGGCTAATTAATTCTTTCAAGCAAGTTATGTTGGAACATATTCCAAGGGTTACTAATAGATATGCTGATACGTTGACTACTTTGGGATCGAAGCTTTCATTTGTTGAAGAACAACCCAACAGTGCCGTGATCAAGAAAGACATGCCAGTGATCGAAGCAATAGCTCATGAGCAGCCGCTGGAAGAAGGTGACTGGCGGAAACTTGTGAAGGAGAAGATAAGTAAGGGAAACGACATCAAGGAATTAAAAGATTATGCTATCATCTTTGGGGAACTGTACAAATGCCTTCCAGGAGGTATTTTAACCCGCTGCATAGGGTCAGCAGAAGCATGAGTGAAGCTCCAAGAAGTACATGATAACACTTGCAATTTGGAACCGATAATCATTTGTATCAACGTCTGCAATGCAAGGGTTATTACTGGCCAGAAATGAAGAAATAAGTAGCTGAAGTTCAAGCCAATTGTCTCAAGTGTCCAACAATACCATCCCTTGAAGAATCATTCACCATCTCATTCGCGGAGGATTGGAAGGCTCCATACTTGGCATTCTTCGTTGACGGAACCCTGCCAACCAATTCCAAGCATGCTCGCAAGCTCAAAAAGACAGTAAAAAGATACTTCGTAGATGGGTCGACTCTCTATCGCAAAGGGTTCAATGGTGAACCATTAAAATGCTTGGGGAATCAAAAGCACAGCAAGTTATGCAGGAAATTCATGCTGGAGAATGTGGTGAACTCCAAGGAATGAACTGGTTTTATCGACAGCTGCTGAATGTTGGGTATTATTGGCATACTATGAAGAATGATGCATACAACTTCGTGAAGAAGTGCCACAAAGGCCAAGTCCATGCCAATCTAAGTCACAAGCCTCCTACGTTGCTACAGGACATGCGCACTCCTTGGCCCTTTCACACTTGGGGGCTTAACTTGATCAGGACAATCCATCCCCCCTTCCGATGGCTACATATGGATCCTTACTGCTACGGAGTATTTCACAAAATGGGTTGAGGCAATTCCCCTTCGGAAGGCCACAGGAGCTGCTGTCTCGAATTTCATTCGGGAACACATTGTGTGTAGGTTCGGAATCTCATACAAGATGGTCACCGACAATGGCACGCCTTTTGTTAACAAGCAAGTGAGTTCAACCCTTAGTGGGTACGGTATCAAGCATCGTCGCTCTACGCCTTATTACCCGCAAGGAAACGGTCAAGCGGAGGCTACCAATAAGACGATATTAAGTATTCTAAGCAAGATGGTATATGAGTATCAAGGAGGCTGGAGTGTTCACCTGCCGAATGCTTTGTGGGTTTACCGCACCTCACCAAGGAGCGCTACAGGTTTTTCACCTTACTCACTTGTGTACGGGTCTGAGGCTATTTCACCTGTGGAAATCACCATCCCGATAGCTAGAGTATCAGCTGTTAATCACCTGGAATGGGATACAAAGTCATGCTCGGATTGGCGCCGGCTGGACCTCGAAGTTTTGGATGAAAAAAGAGCGGAAGCCGAAAGGAGGACATCGTTGTACCACAAAACTGTAGCCCAAGCTTACAACAGGACAGTCAAACCTCGATCTTTCAAGCAAGGAGACCTCGTGCTAAAAGTTGTGGAGCATGTAAGAAGACAAGTGTCGAGACCTTCCAAGTTTGACCCGCAATGGGAAGGCCCATTCACAGTCAAAGAGGCTTACAACAGCGGCTATTATCGCTTGGTCTCTGTCAAAGAAGGCACGCTGACGGATCCCATCAACGGGAAGTGCCTCAAGCCTTACTACTGCTAAGTTAATTTTATGCCCAGCAAATATCATGCAAATAACATGCACTTAGCAGTAGAACATGCCAAGCTACTTGAACGGGATCCCAAATTGTCAACAAATAGCATGCCCAAGAAAAATAATATAAGAAAGGCAAAGCCAAGCTGTTACAAAAAAATCATGCACACGTTAGTCTAATCTTTCTTAGACATAACAAGGAAGTGCTTTTTCAGGGCTAGTGGTTATACAAAATTTTGGGCAGCATATACCTTGTTTTTAAGGGTATCCAACCTGTCAGAAAATTTCAAACAGTTCACAAAGACGAATTTTGCCAACCAAGCAATATATATATATATAAGACATGCAACATGCCTCAAGCATTCAGAAATTAATACAAGCTTCAGTGGTTCAATACCAAATTACAAAGTCATAACAACGAAAGAATTCTCCCAATCTCGACAAAACATGTTTCTCTCGGATAAATGCCCTATAGAGGTGAGAGCATCACTGTTCTTGTGGCTGTAATCAATAATCTCACCACGAGGTAGCACTGCCGAAAGCTGTGAAGAGGTGTCGGAAGCTATGTTGGGTGTGCCCAAGCTAGAAGGAGTAGGAGGTAGCCCTGCTGGAAACTGTGGAGAAGTGTCGGCGGCTGTGTCGGGTGTGCCCAAGCAAGGAGTATGAGGTAGCACTGCTGGAAACTGTGGAGAGGTGCCGGCAGTTGTGTCGGGTGTGCCCAAGCAAGGAGTAGGAGGTTGCACTGCTGGAAACTGTGGAGAAGTGTCGGTAGCTGTGTCGGGTATGCCCAAGCAAGAAGGAGGAGGTAGCACTGCTGGAAACTATGGAGAAGTGTCGGCGGCTGTGTCACGTGTGCCCAAGCAAGAAGAAGTAGGAGGTAGCACTGCTAGAAACTGTGGAGAAGTGTTGGCGACTGTGTCACGTGTGCCCAAGCAAGAAGGAGTATGAGGCAGCACTGCTGGAAGCTGTGGGGCAGTGCTGGCAGCTGTGTCGGATGTCCCTAAGAGAGGAGCATGAGGCTGCATTACTGGAAGGCGCATGACAGTGTAGGCAGCTACGCTGGACATCCCAGGAGTAGGAGTAGGAAGTGTATTCTCCGCACCTTGTGAGATGCTCTCAACCTGAGAAAGAGGAGAAATACAGGGTATGAGTTGCAAGCCACAACAGGCAGCACTCAATGTGTATATACCAAGTAAAACAAGCAAGAAGGTTATTGGATATTAGTTCAATGTCAACATGCCGCTCATGGTCACTAACAAATTCGGAGGCATGCCTGAGGCATCTAGTTCCTCCAAACGAGTGTTGGAATTTGGTTTCTACAACCATGGTTCATGCCAACCCTTTCTCAAAAAGCTGAACTTGGTCAAGCAAGCAGTATAGGTGCCCCAAGAACATGGGGGCTAGAGGAAGCACGTTGCCACGTGCTATCACAAAGGCCAAAGGAAACACCCACTCATGCAAATGATCATAAAAAATAAAAACAAATAAAATAAAAATAAAAATCACAGGAGAGAAATCTCCCAAGCCATAACGATGCAAGCGCTGCAAGACGACATGGCTCATTCTTGTTAGCATCTCCGAAAAACTGTATCCAATTGCTAAACCGCAGAGAAGTGCTAGGAGAAGTCAGGGCACCCTTCCGTAAAGCCTCATGTTTTAGTTCATCTTCCGGAGACAACGCAATGTGGAAAGCATCTTGGCTGCCGCAAAGTGGAAGGTGGAAAATATTGGCTACATCCTCAAGTGTGGGAGTAAACTCTCCCCATGAACAGGTAAATGTGTGTCTCGGTATTCCATTTAACCACATGCCGGAGCATCTTGGCTTAAATATGGATGTCGCAAGCTTTAGAAATAAAGATAGCGTCCAGCAACCCTACCCGATTTAGGATGTCACAGGAGGATGGGTCCTTCAATTCGCAGTCAACCCATTTTGACCAACCATTGCTGATGCCATATGGATATTGGAAGAATAAGGGGACTGCCAGAAATATGCCCCTCTTTATGCAGGATCAACCACTGGAGCTGTTTCCGGCGCTGGCTCTCCATTAAATGAATACGTCTTCACCAGCGCTCTTAAGCAAAGAAGGAGGCGTCACTCTTTTTAATCTGTCATCTTGGGGATAAATGGGTCCCTAATAATGGGCAACAGATCAGCGGATGCCATGACCAGTTTTGGCAAAATGGCAAATCTCTACATACGAGAAAGAAAAAAAAAGGGTTCAAGCAAATATGCAATTTATGACCCAAGTTCGCGACAAACAAAGTTCTCATCCTGTGAATCAATAAGCATGCCAAGCAAATTCTCTCTCAAAACAAAAATCAAGCATTGCAAGACATGCATTCTGTCAACTTCTACTTCTCACGGCCGAGAACAAACTCAACAATTAATCAAGCATATGTTCGCAAGGGGAGTAAGCCTAGGCCAAGCACCAGTCTATGCTTATTCCTAGAATATTCAAATTGGCAGAGCTATTTACCAAAAGATTAAAACGGAAGCCCCAAATATCCAAGTTAGAAGGCTGGAGGATTTGAAGGTTCCAGCGGCAGAAACGTCAAAGGCTTCCAGAACCTGCCCCACCTATGCCTGAGACGTATGCACCTGCACAGAAATAAACAAAAGAGAAAGCACATCATGCCAAGTTCAGCATTTTCATATACAAAGAAGAGGTCAGATAAAAGTAAAGAAGAGGAAAAGGGGGACAAACCCAAGCTAACGGTTTCTTCTCACAAAATTTGGTACCTTTCCAGCAATTCGAGCAAACCAAAGAAAAGAGAACCTGGGAAGATGGATGCAAATCCTTCTTTGCTAGCACCCACGCTGTAAGCACCCACGTTGCTGCAATAACAAAATAGGTCAAGAGAGGGTTTGGTGTTTCACAGCCATAACAAAAGGGCAACATTCACGGATGAAAGGAACCCAGCAAATTTCCCAAATAAATTCAAGAGAAAACAAGGGAAAAAGCATACCTTGTTGAATTCCCCAAAGAAGGATCTTGAATACACCAAGAAAATGAGAGAAATCAGGGATTTTTAGAAGAAAATCGCACAAGGAGGCCCCTTCAGCAGCGACGAACGGAGCCTTCGAATAAGGGAGGGGCGGCGGAGTTGAACTTGGCATGGGCTTCTTCACAACGATTGGAGGCAAATGACTTCTGCCCGATCTCACTCTCTCACTCAGTCTGAGTCTGTTGGAAAAGGGGAAGGGAGTGAAGAAAAGAAAATTGGAAGAAGGTTGGGTCTGGTGCGAGAAACGAGGGAGAAAGGAAGAAAATGAAGAAAATAATAATAAAAGAAGAAGAAGGCGGTTGGCGTTGGGAAACTACAAATAACCGCTGGAACCAATCATGATGCGTCGTCATTTTGAACGCGGGAAGAGAAGAAGTTCTCTACAAATACAAATCTGATTTTTTTTGGGCTGGGTTTAATTATTCGGCCCATTCCAGCACCTGTCCATGGCCCTTATAATTAAGGGGGCTAATGTTGAGGCCCAAAAAATCCATAGTTGGGCCCGAATAAATTATCAGCCCAAAACGACACTCTACTAAGGAAAAGCGTAAAGCGGAGTACACGAAAACCCACCACATGCGAGTTGTAGTTCACGTGCCATGCTAAATAAATTAGCCATGCTAGGGGTTGAGATAAAATATACCGGCTCTACAAGCCCATGCCAAACTTAAACATCGCAGTTCTTCCCAAGGACGATAAAATTAAAACATGCCATGCCAAGCACAAAATCATTATCTCACACCTAACCGCGCTACAAGCCTAAGTGGGCCCAAGCCACAAAATTAACCGGGGCTTACTGAGAAGGTTGTGGTATGGAAGGAAACAAGCAATTACGGGGCCCATTGAGGGTTCAAGGAACGTAAGTTTCAAGCCACTTGGGGGCTTTGAAACTCAAGCCCGTTCCTAGAACCCAAGCACATGGGTTAGCATGAGAGAGAGGAGAAAAAATTGACCCATGCTCTAGGAAGACACCAAAGAACCTACCAAGATATTTAGCCCAGCCCACATCAATAGAATTAATGGGAAAGCCTTTCCAGCAGCTTGACGAAAGCCTGTCAAACGATAGAAGCAACAAAGCCAGAGGACCCAATACCATATGTACAAGCCCAAGCCCAAGCCCAGCAACTTACAAAAATCTGGCGTCAAGTCCTATTCCCGTTTGAATTCCAAACAATGGTCATAAGGGAGCCATGGCAAGACCAGAGGAAATCCATGGGGGTGAGGGAAGTGTCCATCGGACAAAAGGCTCCATCTCTCCCCTTTTCCTCTGTAAGCTCTGCCTTGGAGAAAACATAAGGAAAGCAGGTGGCGCCTTCCCCTCTATGGGAAAGCCCAGCTGCGTCAAACCGTTGGAACCATAAAGGGTTCCTTACCCATGCTCCTTGGATGGAGAAATTCATCAAAATAGGGCTAAGTAGGAGCTGCCAAGGAGAAAGGAAGAAGAAAACCAGACGAAATTAGAGCTCCTAACGCCTATAAAAGGAGACTTTTGCTACCCAGAAAAGACATCCACAACTAAACCATCCAGAGCCTGACCAAGCTTTGTCAAGCAACCTGGAATCTACTCAAGCCACCCAAACCTTTCTTTCGTTCATCCTTCTTCTCCCTTAGGATAGGAATCGTGCTAATATTTCCTCTGTAAGAAACCAGAGCCTGACCAAGCTTTGTCAAGCAACCTGGAATCTACTCAAGCCACCCAATCCTCTTTCTCCGTTGTTTTCTTCTTTCCCTGAGATAAAATCTTGCTAATATTTCCTTCGTTCCCAGTTTAGATTTTATCCTCTGCAAGAAACTCATGATGTTCTCTCTCTCTCTCTCAAATTGCTAAACTCGTGAAAGCTTAGCTCCCATGCCACATGCTCCTCAGGCTAAGTCATTAGTGAAATCATCATGCTTATTTGGGTGTTAGTAAAGTGATCCTGAGAGTGTTCTTTTAAAATCTCATCAGATTTTCTAAAAACTCTCTTGGGAGCTTGGTTTCGAACTCAGGCATTTGGGGGATTTTGCTCGTTGTCTTCTTACAGCAGCCCAGGCCCATTCGTCAGGCTGCTGGAACAAAAAACCCCCTACAAAGTGCTTCTCAAGGGTATTTTTATTGTTGTTTCTGTGTTTCTCCTCTGTGTTCTCTCCTGAATTCTGCTATGGTATGCCTGGCAGTTTGTATGGGTGTCAAAGAATTATGATTTTGATCATAGAAGGCTTCTTTTGACATCCCATGTGTGTCTACTATGTTGGTCTCTAGTTGCAGTTCTCGTCGTTGGTCTTTGTATTAGTTTTCGTTTTTTATTATTTATTTATTTTTTATTGTAATGATCAAAAGTGACATGAATTGGACTCTCTTGTTAGTCCATGATATGTGTAGTACTCTTTCTTTCCCTGAGTTTGTCCCATGAGGTAGTCAAGGTTTTAACGAGGTCACTGTATCATATCGCTCTTTGTACGTCTTTAGTTCTTTGAATGAATTTTCTTTCTAAAAAAAAATAATAATAATAAAAAAGTTTCCCATTTTAAGATTTTTATTTTTTTACAAATGAAATGTAAAAATTGGAAACTAAAAATTAAGAACTGAAAAAGTCATCAAAAGAACTCCAAAACTCTTAAAATTTCAGCTTCAAATGTAGCATAGAGAACCCTCAATTTTTATTTTTATTTTCCAAAAAGTACCCTCATTTTTTTTATTTCCTAGAAGTACCCTTTTAAATTTCATACAACAGATATGGTGGACTGTCCCGCAAATTATCTTCCTTCACAGTTCCTCTTGCCTTAGCAAACCCTTGTCTATCGTTCTTGCACACTTGCAGGCACTATATCCACACAAAGCAAATTCTTCAGTAAAATTCAAAACGAAAACAAAAACAAAATATAGGAAACCCAAACGGAAGGTGAGCTGGGTTAGAGTACAGCAATGCCACACGTGGTCCTCCATCACCCACTCCTCACGCCCTGCCTTTCTCACCTTCCATCATCATCATCAACATCAAGCTTTCCAATTCGAACCCAGAAATCAACGGCCTGGATTTCCCAAAGAAATCATGCGGGTCTGTTCCGCTGGCATCCCACCACCACCATAAGGTGCATGGCTAACCCTCGCAGAGTTGCAATGGTGGCTAAGCAGATAAGGAGGGAGCTTTCTGATATGCTCTTAACTGATAATGTCTTGCAGTACGCTATTCTTCCTGAGGTCGCTTTGGGTGCTGACCGTTATCTCTCTTCTTTGACCACCATTAGTGATGTTGAAGTTTCTACTGACTTGCAGGTATACATATAGCATTTAGTTATTAGCATATGTGTGGTCGTTTTTGTTTTCATTTTTTAATTGGGATAATTTTTGCGGGTTTTATTGGATTTGGAATATTTGGTTTGTGGGTTTATGAATTGCTTGGGATTTGGGTGATTATAAGGTTGTTTAGTGTAAAGTTTATGACTTTTCATTGCTGTGATGTTGTTTTAGGAAAATGGGAGGCAGTGGAAACAAATGGGATAGCTTTAAATTTGTGTTTTTGTGTGTGTGATTTTTTATTTTTTTCCTTTTGCAATGTCATTGCTTTTATTTTTTGTTTATATTTCGGGTAATGACAAGGCCTTCTGTGTTTCTCTAGTGCTATCTCTTTATCTTTTGTTATCTGAAGGTTCGATTTCAAATAACATCTAGCTTAACTTCTCTATTCTTGCATTCTGTTTTCCCTACGTGATTTCCTCGACTATGGTGAGAGATACTGGCAAACTCCTGTAGTATCTTATATCCATTGCAATCATTGTTTTATGTGAAATTGTATTGAACACAATTATGCTTTTGCTATTTGCATGATTGCATTAGGCTTTGGCTAATATGGTTATGAGGTGGGACAGTTGTTCGATACGTCTTAAGGCACAAAAATTTCTAGAAATAATTTTTTCTCAATATTATGCTTTATGAGTGATGCGCATGTTTGGACCAATCATCAAATATATTGATTGAGAGTTAGAAAATGCATTTCATTGTTCAAGTTCTTGGTGATTAAGCCCATAGTTGCTATCTTGTTTGGATTCTGAGGCAAATTAGTTTCTGTGGCATGTTTAACACTGTCTGGGTAAAAATCATCTGGCTCATGCACATTTCCCATTTTAATGATACTAAGGAAATCAAAACTTCTTTGCTCAAGTTTTAGTTGTCTCTATTAGTAGCTTCCCTCAATGTTTCAGTGATGGTGGTAATGCTCATAGTGTGAGGGAACTTATGGTTCTGGACATCTTGTTAACTATAGTTTATTTCTTTGACTACAGGTGGTTAAAGTATATGTTTCTGTTTTCGGCGATGAAAGAGGAAAGGAGGTTGCCCTTGCGGGGCTAAAGTCAAAAGCCAAATATGTCCGCGGTGAATTGGGAAAGCGTATGAAGCTGCGGTTGACTCCTGAGATACGCTTCATAGAAGACGAGTCTTTAGAGAGAGGAAGCAGGGTAAGATTAGTAATACTTTATTTCATTGATATGATTATCTATATATCTATAACTGGGGAGAGAGCAATACAATTGGTTCCTCTTGCAGTTTCTTTCCTACTTTTCCCATTAAAGTACTTAAGTTGTTATATCAGTGGTTCTTGCATTAATTAAGCTTCAGATATAAGTTGGTTAAAAGTTAACACAAGTCTGATTGCGCTGAAAAGTTTGAAATATGCAGCTTTGCACAAGTTGTATCTCATAAATAACCAACTTTGATTGTTTCCTTGATTACTTAATGTAGAAGTATAACTTGACTTTGAGCCTATAAGAATTGTAGAAAATACTTCCCCATTTATGCTATTGATTAGTTTTGCTGGTCTTAGCAGGTTAAAAATCAAAAGGAAAAAATAACAAAAGTTGATTCCCCTTTTGGTTGCTTATATTGCTAATGAACATTCACATTCTGTTTTCTGTTTATTACTTGGTTATCTCGACTAATTTTGTGCTTGTAGACTTACTTCTAAGGTGGGTGTCAATTTATGCTAATTCGTCAAAGTTGAACCATTTCAGGTTATTGCAATATTAGATAAGATAAAGAATGAAAAGAAAGATCCCGACATTCAAGATGAGGAGCAATTGGAATCATCCGAGGCACCTCAGGATGACACAGATTGGGAGGGTGATGACCCTGATGAAGACATTATATACATAAACTAGTTTCTTCCCCTACTTTCTTAACATTTTGCTTGTTTGGATTCAGGCATGGCTTTGCTTGGCAGCAGGTTCGTCTCATTTTCATGAGTTTGAATGTTGTGACACTCTGGCTGTATTGATTGCTATCAATGCTATAGTATTTACAAATATTTATGTTTCTAATTGTTTCTTGTCCACACACTGAAATTGGACCCACACATAGTTCAAACGAAGCTGATTACCTGAAATTTGGTTTAGAATATCATGATGATCGATTTGGGTGCAATATATGAAGGGTTGTTGGATAAGCTTTAGGAAAGAAATACTGTTGTCATTGTGTATTTGACTACAATTAAGATGTAATAAAATAGTGGCATAGTATGTTTATACTAGGATTTAAAGTAATAGCATACTATGTTTGGAGTTGGAATTTCTGAAATGGACCCACAAATTTGCCAAAATTAATATGTAAGCTGTGTTTTTGGGGCGTTTGATCTCTGAAACCCCTCTCACTCCACAGGGGTCTCCAAAGTTGGAACTGCTTGCAATGGTGCAACGTTATGCTCATTTCATAAAATGCAGGGAAGAAGTGTATAATGTTTATTTTACTTTCTGTGATGCAGGCAAACACCATACGTCACAATGCTAACCGGACAGAAGAAACTCCTCGCAGTTGGAGCCATCTTTTGAATTACAAGCTTCAGCCATGTCGCACATTGTAAAATTACCTAAAATATTTTTGTGCTTTTCTTCAGGTATGCTTGTGATTTGCTTTTTGTTTTGGCTAGTCGTAATACAAAGCCCTTCACAGATGTGTCAATGCACATGGTGAATGGAATTATCATGTAAACCCGTCTGCCTTTGGGATTTTCTACTGTTTCTGTTCTACCACAATCGCTGATATATTGATTACGGACACTAGTTATTGGTGTTGGTAGTCCCAATCAGGCAAAGATGACTTTGAAGAACCGTTTTGATGCATAATGTTATAAGAGTAGAGACAAGGATGAACATGATGTAAATGGTTTTTTTTCTAGTGGTGCAAAAAAGAGAAAATCTAGCCCTTTAGAGATTCAACCAAAAATGTTCAGGATCCTCACTGACGAATTTTGTTGATGACAGTAACACGTGATTGATATGTGGACATGTCCTATGAGGGTACTCAAATTATAACACATCTACAATTATTAAAATATTATAATTTGAGTGGATTCGTAGCATGTCGGTATGCCATGCGCTATTACCCTCCTTAACATAGATATGAATTCTAAAGATCTTAGGTTTCTCTAATGCGACACAAATTTTCTTCTACAAGATCCTTGTTTCCCTTAATCAAGCTACTGCAAAATCAGGGATTAGCAATGCGCACCATGTTACACTTGAGAAGTTACAACAAATTGGAAGAGTGCTTCCATTTTGGTTAGAAAATATACTTCATAAAGCCAAAAGGCAAAGGGAAACACAATCAAACAAAGGGAACCTTTTTTAAGGGTTTAGGGAACAACTTAAACAAGGAGTGAGGACAAAAGTATTGAGGGATGAGATTCTTTGACATTTTTGCCGTGGGTGACAAAAGTACTGAGGGATAAACAAAATGAACTAATGAAGGATGACAACAGATATGAGTTTTCCCTTTGGCCCATTTGTTATGAATTGGTAAAACTGGTATATAAATCTTTTTCGTAAATATTAAATAATTATTAATAACACATGAACGTAAAGTAAAGAAACTGAACCCATATGAATACTGGACAAATTATACAGCCTAACATGGGATCACAATTCTAAGTTCTCCACAAATCCCAACTTGACCTTTGCCAATAGTACTCAAATGTCTAGGGTTCATGGAACCAGGGGGAATAATTGGAGAGACATTGATGGTGCCACACATCTATGTAGGTAAGATTGTTGATGGCACTCAAATGTCTAGGGTTCATGCCAACCACATCAGAAACTCCATGTAAGATAGGCGCACTTTAAATGAGCAATGCATCAGTCAACCAGAGATTCATAACATGCAAAAGACTAATATTCAGGTAACTGTTACAGCAACATAACCCAATAATGAAATTGAAGCCAAATCATGATATTAAAAATTATAAATAAATAAAATGTTAGGCAACTTATTAATCAAGGGAGCATTACCCTCACAATTTCACTAAAACCAATAGAAATTGAAATGCCGTTACGATAGGCGAGGTCAAGTACATAAATCGTCCTAAAGTGCAGAATTCATAATTCTCAATTTAAACCAAAAAAACTTGGAGCTTTAAGCAAGGTTTTCATTATAGCTCTCAGAAGTGAAATATTGGTACACTCCACCCCCATTCATTATTTCTATCTCCAAATCAACTCATTCCTCACTCAACTTCTGATAGAACACATCTCCTTCAGTGATGAGCCTTTGCTGCAGATTTAGCCTTTGCCTTGGTGGGGAGATAACAAAAAAGGAAATTAGCACTTGTAGACATTTTTAGGTGTGCAAGTGTGTGTTTGTGCATGTCTAAAGTAAAGGTGAAAAAAAAAATTCTTAACACATAAAACGGCATGGTTTAATCAATCCAACAAACCAATACAAGACTGTCACTACTTGCAAACACAACTCAAACACAAGACAACACAAGTAATTTGATTCAGCCTTAAAGGTGAGCATTGGTTAACCATGTACTCAAGCCAGGTTGACCTGACAGATTTGTCTTGACATGTTAAAACATCTTAGGTCATGTTGAAGATCAAGAACATGATTAGGAACAACAAATATATTATAAAATGGTAATTTAGTTGTTTAAAATGTTAACCTCATCACTTGTCTTCATTCCTCATTTCCAGTTTCCGCACATTTGAGCAACCCCACTTCCTTTCTAACCCAGTACTGTTGCATGATTTCCATCTACATTTGAACATAAATCTCAACTCTGCCCCTAACTTGATGCCTTTGTTTATTAAATTACAAATCCAACAAACTACAAAGAGTTTTGTCCTCTTACATTTACTCAAGCAATCTTGATGACATATCATTTTTAGTTCTTTGCCCCTTACTTGTAACCTTAGTTTATTATCTTCAAACCATAAGGCTACAAAGTGTTTGTTCTCTCTCACATTTTACCCGAGCAATCCTTAAAACATATCGTGTTTGGTTTTTCCCCTTCCAATGCTTATTAATATGAGATGATATTAAGAACATAGTGCTAGTTGCTTAGGAAAAAATTTCCATAATCTCTCCCTTTTCTTCTCTTTTCAGAAAGCTCTGTATACATCCTTGTCTTTTTCCCCCCTTTTCCCTTCGTACTTACATATTATTTTTTGCAGTGAGTCTTTGTGAGTCATGATTGTGGGTTGTGACTGTTAAGCAATTACAAAGCTACAGTGAAGGTAAAGTTAATTGCTAAACCTAGAAGTTCTCATGCTTTGTACTTTGCTTGTGAAGTTCTTGCAACCTAGAAATATTTTACTTCCACGGAGTCTCACTCAATACTGACCACACCATTGTGTATTGAACACACTACTCAAGCAAAGTGAAACTTGCTCAAATTGTGTATAACAATTAACAAGTTGGCTTTGAACTATAGGAGTGTGAGAAAAAAAAAAAGGAATCTGTAAGAGAGTCCTTTTCACTTAAAGACTACGTATGCACGTCTTCTAGACTTTCATTAACTCTTCTATGAGAATTCAGTAACTTTCTTTTATTTATCTATCACTGGATGCATGATACATTAGAGACATCATCCAATAAACCTGCCACTAAGCAGCCACTCTTCAAACCAATGTCGATGGAATTGGATGACAACGAAAACAATTACTCCCGAGTAAAACAGCAGGACAAAGGAAGAACTAAATAATATCCAAGAAAGCATCAGGATAAGATGATAATATATAACCGAACTATTTCTTGATTACTGCTACTAGCCACTAAAACTAGGCTTGAAATCAGCTTTTCAAATGGTGATTAAACATAAACATGCTCTTCCATGAACACAAGGAAAACATACATATCTTTCATATGAAAACGGAACGCAAAGAATAAAAAAAAGACCAATCTGCAGTTACAAGTTGACCAACATCGATTAAAATCTACATATCTTATTACTCATACCAAAATTAAAGCAAACCCAACAACCATTTGTAATCAGAAACACACTATGAACTTATTTTACAAAAAACAAACAAATGGGTCATTCAAAAAAAGATAAAAGAAATAGGAAAGGCAGTACCTTGAGATACTTGAGCTTAATGCTTCCGTATACGAGTCCAAAGGAGAATGCGGACGCACGAGCAACCTGCAAATCCAGAAGAACCCATATCACTAATTAGATTATTAATCAACAAATTCGTCCAAAATTCGAACCTTCTAGTTTTTACCAAATTTAAAATAAATTTTTTTATACACACACACATAGTTAGATCCGGAACGGAAAAAAAAAGATTTTTCAAGGGAATTACCAAGGCGAGGGTGCTGGTTCCAGAATAGGGTCCTGGAGGCGGCGCCATTTTTGTTCCGGAGACTGGTAGATGATAAACAATAGACGAAGCGAACAAGAAGAAAATCTGTAAAACCTCCAAAGTCCCAAAGCCCGAGCCCTACACCAGCCTTCGCTAAGCCTTTATATATATATATATCTATCAGGTAATGCGATCACGGTCGTCCGTCCACCCGCTCCATCTGGTTGGACCCACCCTTTGTGGAGTCAACCAATAAAATACCAACACGTCGCTCTTTTTTTCCTTCAAAGAAAAAGTTAATTACAAATTTGGCCCGTAACTTTTAGGGCTTTTCCACTTTGGTCCTTAGGTTTTTCTTTTCATTCAAAGTTGATTCCTAAACTATTGGATTGGAATAGGGATGGCAATGAGCCAGTTCGGGGATGGGTATAGCAATACTATCCTCGTCCCCGCTCCCCATCCCTGCACCCGTCCCCATCCCCGTCTTTATCGGGGGTTGTCTCCCAAACCCGCCCTGAATCCTCGGTTTTTATTTATTAAAAATATACTACACTCAATTTTGACCAAAAAATAAACTCAATTACATTCAATTAAACCATAAAATTCAACTTAACTACTTAAATTCATCTAAACAATTTGACAAACTAATAGAAATCATATATTCCACAATCAAAACTAAATATTTTATCACAAAATTCTTATTTTACCGTTAAAATTAACAACAACAAAACACATTAAAGACCTATGAAAATAAAAGATCAAATAAATAAAAAACACCTAGTAGCACTATAGCACCAGCACCGTAGCTTCATCAGACAATATGGAATGAAATGAGGTTCTAATAACGAATCAGGGATAACACATAAAAAAAACAATTTCCATATGTTTCTTGGTCAACCAAGAAAATCATGAATTGTTTCCTATTGGTTTATTGAAATATATATTCTATATTCTATATTCATTAATTAAAAAATTATATGTATCACTAATCGGGCCGGGTTCAGGGATGTGGATAATGATAACATCCTCGGCCTATCTCCAATTGGGGATTTTTAAAATTCAAGGATCCCTATATCCGCCCTTGATTTTCCTCGAAATCTTCCACCATTAGGGGGTACACGACGGGGATCCAACCCGGCAGGGATTTTTCCCATCCCTATGCCTAGTTGGGCCAAGGATCCTAAGCTCAAGCTCTACCCAACCTTAGAGGGAGCCTAACCATTGGACCGAGCAGGGGTTTGGCCCATCGGACCTCGGGTTACCTACTTTGGCATGCGGACCATGAGCCAAATGATTATCTCTACATAAGAATGTTCTTACAACTCATTCGGTGAAGTAAATTGAATTCTTTGCTCACAGCTTCATGTTATCAAAGCAAATTGGGTTGCTTATACATTAGGGTTTCTCCACAAATTCAAGGAAACCATTGTTTCATGGTACTTTTTAGTAGGTTTAAAAAGTTTTCCTAAATTTTCCTATTTGTTTCTCACCACCATTTTCACTTTGGACCCTCATTCTTCTCCACAAAATACCAATTTCAATGGCATTAAGTAGAATGTCCTCAACTGGCTCTGGCTCCTTTTGGACTGCCTAGCAAAACAAAGATTTTGAAAATCCTCTTTGGGGTGAGCCTAACCATTGGGCTAGGAGGGGCCAAGGCTTGGCCCATCGGACCTAGGGCTGTCTACTTCAGCACATGAGCTGCGAACCGAATGATTATCCATACATGAGAATATGCTTACAATACATTCGATGAAGTAATGAGAGTTTTTTCATTCACAACTTCATGTCATTGAATAAAATTGGGTTGTTTATACATTAGGGTTTCTTCACAGCTTCAAGCAAACTATTGTTTAGTGATACTTTTTAATAGACATAAAAAGTTTTCCTAAAATTTTCAATTTGTTTCCTACCACTGTTTTCATTTTAGACCCTCATTCTCCTTCACAAAAACCATTTTCAATGGCATCAAACCAAATGTCCTCAACTTGCTCTGGCTCCTTTTGGACTCCTAAGCAAAACAAAGATTTTGCAAACGGTCTGGCTGTGTTTGATAAGGAAACTGCCAACCGCTTGGATTCTGTTGCCAAGGCAGGTTAGGGTTTGGCGCATTCGACCTCGGGCTAGGGATCCTAAGTTCAAGTCCTACCCAACCTTATAGGGAGCCTAACCATTGGGCTGGGCTGGGGTTTGGCCCATTGGACCTTGAGCTACCTACTTTGGCTCGCATGACGCTATTTGAACGATTATCTCTATATGAGAATGTGCTTACAACTCATTTAGTAAAATAAAGGGAGTTCTTTATTCACAGCTTCAAGGGAACCTTTGTTTCATGGTACTTTTAAATATGCATAAAAAGTTTTCCTACATTTTCCTATGTGTTTCTCACCACCATTTTCACATTTTACCCTCATTCTCCAAAAAATACCGTTTTCAATGGCATCAAGTGGAATCTCCTTAACTGGCTCAGGCTTCTTTTTTACTGCAAAGAAAAACAAAGATTTTGAAAACGCTCTGGCTGTGTTTGACAAGGACACTGCCAACTGCTGGGATAATGTTGCCAAGGCGGTCGGCAAAAAAACCTAGAGGAAGTCAAGAAGCGTTATGAGCTTGTTGTTGAAGAAATCATGCTATAAATGAGCTTGGAGAAGTGCTCATCCCGGATTAGAGGGGAAAAAAAAATTTAAGTGTGTATCGATTAAATCTTTTTTTATATTTTTAAATAAGGCATAGGCAAGCAGTTCTAGGTTGGGCCCAGGTGGGCCTATTCCGACTAGGGATCCTAAGCCCAAGCCCTACCCAACCTTATAGCGAGCCTAACCATTGGGCTTGGCTGGGCCGAATTTTGGCCCATTGGACCTCAGGCTACCTATTTCTGCCCACGAGTCGCGAGCCGAATGATTATCCCTATATGAGAATGTGCTTACAATACATTTGGTGAAATAAAGGGAGTTCTTTTTTCACAACTTCATGTCATTGAAGAAAATTGGGTTGTTTATACCTTAGGGTTTCTTCACAACTTCAAGGAAACCATTTTTTCGTGGTACTTTTTAGTAGGCATAAAGGGTTTTCCTAAATTTTCCTATTTTTTCTACCATCGTTTTCACGTTAGACCATCATTCTCCTCCACAAAATACCATTTTCAAAGGCATCAAGTGGAATGTCCTCAACCAGCTCTGGCTCTTCTTGGACTGCCAAGCAAAACCAAGATTTTGAAAACACTATGGGCTGATTTTGACAAGGACACTGCCAACCGCTGGAATAATGTTGCCAAGGCGGTTGGTGAAAAAACCCAAAGGAAGTCCATAAGCATTATGAGCTTGTTGTTGAATATATCATGCTTATTGAGGCTACACAAATGCCCATCCGGGATTAGAGGAAAAAAAATGAAGAGTGTATCAATTAAATCTTTTTTTTTAAATAGGGCAAAGGCAGACAATCCTAGGTTGGGCCGAGGTGGGCCTAGTCCGACCAGGAATCCTAAGCCCAAGCCCTACCCAACCTTAGAGCGAGCCTAACCATTGGATTATGTTGCAAAGGCGGTTGGCGAAAAAACCTGGAGGAAGTCAAGGAGCATTATGAGACTCTTGTTGAATATATCATGCTTATTGAGCCTGGACAAGTGCCTATTCCAGATTACAACCAAAACAAAAAAAAGTTAGGGTGTGTATAAATTAAATCTTAAAAAAAAAACAAATAAGAGCTTAGGTAGGATATTCTAAGCCAGGACCAGGTAGGCTTAGTCTGGTAAGGTATCCTAAGTCCAAACCCTACCCAACCTTAGAGCACTTCCATCCACAATGGCTAAGTCTAAGGCAAAGGCAAGCAAGGGCTGCCACTATTCATGTGAATAGTGTCAGCCTTGCCATTTGTGGTTCCACCCATGAGGGCTAAGTCTAGGGCAAGTCTAAGGCAATTACTATTCACTTAAATTTATTTTTTATTTTTTATACTTAAAACATTGATTTTGATAAGCTTTTCGGTAAGATTTTCAATTCCCAAGTGTTAATATTTATCGTAAAATCCTCACCTAAAAATCAAGATAACATTTTCGGATAAAATTTTGAAATTAAATTGGTGTGGAAAGTGAACAATATTGGTAGGTATGTATAGAAAAAGTTTCCAGAATTTTTTGATATTTTTTTAAAAGAATTTGATATTTTTTTCAATTTTTTTAAGGCAAAAATTAGACAACTGTTGGATTGTGCAAATTTTTTGATCGGAGGCTCCAAGAGAAGCAACATGGCTTGTAACCATTGGGCAATGTGGACTAGTGGGTCCAAAAGTTTAAAAAAAAAAATTTGAAAATCAGCTGTTGAAGTCAGCAGCCCGAGGTTTGGTGCCCAGGCAAGATTAACCCGTGGGCTTGCCTGGGCTGGTGGGTCCCACGCCTTGCCCGGGCTGGATTTCCTGCGCTGGAGGTCTCTTGGGCTTGCCAGGGCTGCCTTTCTCCCAGTTTGGGTCTAGCGCTGGAGATGCTCTTAGAGGGAGCCTAACCATTGGGCCAGGCTAGGGTTTGGCCCATTAGACCTCGGGCTACCTACTTTGGCTCTCAGAACGTTATCCGAATGATTATCCCTACATAAGAATGTGCTTACAACTCATTTAGTGAAGTAAAGAGAGTTCTTTGTTCACACCTTCAATAGAACCTTTGTTTCATGGTACTTTTTAATATGCGTAAAAGTTTTCCTAAATTTTTCTATTTGTTTCTCACCACCATTTTCACTTTATACCCTCATTCTCCTCCAAAAAAATACCATTTTCAATGGCATCAAACGGAATCCCCTCAATTGGCTCAGGCTCAGGCTTCTTTTGGACTACCAAGCAAAAAAAAGATTTTCAAAGCGCTCTAACTATGTTTGACAAGGACACTTTCAATCGTTGGAATAATGTGGCCAAGGCGGTTGGCGAAAAAACCCAGAGGAAGTCAAGAAACATTATGAGCTTCATGTTGAACATATCAAGCTTATTGAGCTTGGACAAGTGCCCATCTCGGATTAGAGGAAGAAAAAAAAAAGTTAAAATGTGTATCAATTTAATCTCTTTTT